GAGAGAGGGAGGTCTGGGCATCTTTGCTTAGACTGCTGCCCCCGCGACCCGGCCCCGGATAAGCGGAAGAAAATGGATGGATGGATGGATGGGTAGGAAGCAGTTGATTGTGACAGGGAAACAAGGAAAAAGGCTGTGGTGAAAAGTTTGGCCTACTCCTCAAGTCGTACCACATGGCACTGCCTTGACACCACATACCACATGCTGGTTTTGGAGTTTTTCTTTTAAATTCCTGGACTAACATATCCCGGCAGAGGAGGCAAAGTGTCCCTCAGAACAGAAAACTTAATGGAAGTAGATCCTCTCATTTCCTACCAAACAAGAACAAAGCATGGGCCAGGCGAGGAAACTAACAATATAGTCTAACCTTGAGATGTGGACACCAACAGTGTGTCCTCTTTTACATTATTCATATGAAAAATACAATTTTCATTTATATATTATTCATTGGTTTTTCCTTAAACAATGGGAAGTCCTAGTGTGATTTTGACAGGGGTGTCTGATGGAGAGAAAATGGATGAGAGAGAAAGAGAGAACTATTACTTTCACCTCTGTTATTGATCGAAATTAAAGAACATCAGCTAAAAAAATAGCGTTTTAATAACTTCATCAATCACCAATGTCCTTTCAAGTTGTGTCATAATGCCCTCAGTCCCAGAGGGCAGTCACAATGTCAGTAGAGATGAACGCAATGGCATCTTAAAAAAAAGCATATGGATATGTAAACACGTCACTACATCTGCTACTGATTGACAGTTGCTGACAAATTGTTCTAGAGATATAAAGCAAAGGATTCAAATTAGTGTGATACTGGATTATTGATTCCAATACTGATTTAATTTCATTTTTGTACTATATTTGAGAGTTTAAAAATATTTCATCAGCCAATAGCCAAAACATAATAAGAAAAATAAATACAGACATACATCACCCACTGGAGCCTGTCCATTAATCAGTGAATACATTGAGCATGTTTCATTAATAGTAACAGCTATTACAAGTTGAAAGTGCAGATAGCGCTTTCACACAATGTCTCATTTATGTTTGTAGGCCAAAGTTGCTAAACAAAGATAAACAATGAAGGCAGTCCTATGGAGACAGGACATTTTATATTTGAACTATAAACTCTCCAGTGCTTTTGGGTGGACAAACTATTTAAGGAGACACTTTCTAAATTACTTTAAAATATCTTATGATTTTTTTTTTACTGCAGTTTTGTGTAATTTAATAGTCAACATATATATTATGGCTTTTTACACTCCCCACATTTGGCCAATGTATCAGTCTGTCCGGTCTATTGTATTAGTTTACCTTTATCCCAAGTAAAGTTGAGTAAATGAAAATAGATAGGCAAATAGAATAGGCAACAGTGCACAGATGTGAAGCTGAACGCTAATTTAAAAAAAATTACAGTAAAAACACTAAGTGATGTTCATCTGATTAGGTCAGATTTGTTGCTATCATAAAATCCAGTTAAAACGCACAGCAACTCTCCCACTCTATGTTAATGTAGGATGTAGTGTGCCACTGTAGTGTCATTTAAAAAAATCAAGTGAATGGCTATACTATAAACTTCCTTTTAGGAAGAAGACAGTTGTCTCACTGGGCCATGTTAAACCCAGAGGGATAGAGCAAACTGGCTAGTTTCTCAAAACAGTAGCTGTCTTTGAAATTTGGCTGTTTATGAGTATAAATGTTGTGAACCTGCTTCTTTTGTAACAGTTGAACTAAAGCTGTCCTATCCTTTAAATTGAGATGCTGTACTGTATTATTTTGTACAAACTAGTCAGTGTTAGCACTTTGAAAAGGGGAATTTAGTTATATTTAAGCACTTTGCGAAATTTTCATTTAAAGTATTTCAGTCATTTTAATATTGAACTTCCTGTTGATGTAGCAGAAAGAATACTGAATGGCTGAGTTTA